AAAAAACAAATACAAGATATAACAAAATTAATTGAAATTACATATTAAATTAATATTAAAATTATAGTTAAATATAAAATATATAACTACTCGTAATTAAAAATTATATCATGAGTTATGAGAAGTTTGCAAAGGTACGAAAAAAGTATACATTCTTAGATGATTAACTGAATTACTTTATTTCTGAAGTTCTGAATATTTAATTACTTGCGATAAAAACGTGATGTTTATTAACTATTTTCTGATGGCCAAGAATTTGTAAATAAATGTATTTGAATTGCGTAGAATATATGTTCTGATAAATATGTATGGTAAACTATAAATATGAACATTAATCAAAAGTGAATAAAAATGCCAATAAAAAGTATTATCTACTAAAAATAATCTAATTATTTTTATTTCATATTATAACATGATCAAAAAAAAAAAAAAACTGTTGGATGGATTTCATTGTTTATTTATCTCTTTATATTGATGCGCATATTTCACTATTTTTGAAAAGTATATTTAATATATAATATACAGTATTTAATCATAGTTTTTTTTTATCTACCTGCTAATAGGTATATACTTCAAAACACATAGATAATATGTCTCAGTATATGGTACAAGCCACAAAATTATAAAGTGTATAACATAAAGGTTATCAGGAAAATATAATAGTGAGCATTAGTATGCACGTACATAATTTTTAAATGTAATATTATTGTATATACTTATGTTATTTAAGAATTAAGAAATGTTAACTAATTAATAATTACATTGGAATAGCTGTATTTTATATTGTATTGTAATGCATAATAATATTACCTTTTGGAAAATCGTTCAATGCGATCGTCCATTGCCAATAAAGTGTCTTTTTTGTTATCTTTTCGACATAATACCGGCAGTCTGGCCCACGAAGATATTGCAGATCGCATCCGTTTAATATTTTCTTGTGTTTTTTGTACCCTACGGTATAATTTATAAACAAGGTCTTGAACACTTCCAATGTACTCGTTAAGACCTAACATTTTTGATTTAATTAAAAATTGCTTACGTAATGTAATAATTTGGTAATATTTTTTGTACATATTAATACTTATATATATATATATGTATATATATTTATATAGACATTATATACCTTCAGAATTCCAATTTAATGAATATTCGCCTTTTTTAACTAATTCATCGATTTGTTGAATCTCTTCTTGAACTAACTGAAATTCAATTTCTCGGCTGTTGTTTCTTAATTTATTGTAACTAACATGTATAATTCGTTTTACTATTAGCAGGTACATATAATAATAATGATAATAATACTTAAACTAAATAATAACTAGCATACCATTCTTTTGTGTTATTAAGATTAATGCAGTATATTCTATATGTATCTTCACGTTCGTGAAATTGTAATGCTTCAATAGGTATATCATTCAGTTCATATGAACGAAAATAATGAACTTCTCTTAATATCGCTACCAACTAAAAATATTTATATTATTATCGGGTAAATAATATTAAATATACCAGTAGATACTCGTTAAATATTAAACAATAGAAAATATATTTGAATATTTGATTCACCTCTGGATGAAAATTGAGTTGTAACTCATTACACTTAGATCTACGATTAAATAATGGCAACTTTAATAATTCTTCGCATCTTTTTGATACAGAACCTTTCCAATTATTTATTAAATCCGATTCAAATGTATTTAATGAAACAATCATATCATCTACTTCTTTAATAACCGATTGAGCCTTTTTTGACTGGACGATTCTAAACATTTATTTAATCAATTTTAATTAAACACAAGTTTAATAGTATATTACGGATGATCTAGATTTTTAAAACATTGTATTGGATGCTCAACTCTAGCTTTAAGAGTTTTTGACCATTTCAAAGAACCAGCTATTGGGGGCATAAGCTTATCAACGTTTGCTGAACCCTGAGTTCTTATAGCAATTAGTTGGCTCTCGAATAAATTCTATAGACAAATCATAATTATAGTAATTAATAATTATGATATAATAATCATTTTATAAGCACGTCTATATACACTAACTTTACAAATTGTAACTTCGTTAGACAACATGTTCAAAATTTTACCATAACTACTTGTAAACATATCTTTCATGCCAGACCGATCCATTACGACACCCACAATTTCAATTAACTATAAAATAATAATTTATGTTTATTAGTTTATAACCGACATTATAATATTATTAAAAATAATTATAATTATAATTTACAAATATTTATATAATATGTTTAAAAATAATAATTATGTAGTACATTTTCGTACAAGTAAATAATACATAATAGTAAATGTTTATTTTATAGGATATAGCTCTATTATGCCAGTACTGTCACTTTCAAATATTAATACCAAACCTTGACAGTGTGATATACTTTTTTTATACATTTTTTCAATTTAAAATATACAGTTATACATATTAATATGTATATATAAATAGGTAATAAGAACCTACTTACATAATATTTAAACTTTATATAACTTAAATCTTAAATTTTAAGTCATAAAATAAAATTAGTTCAAGTTTTAGTTAAACTTAAATACTTAAACTATACGTGTACCAACATATTATTTATTTTAAAATGTTGAATATTCGCAATTTGAATAAACAAATATTATGTAATCTTATAATTTACTATAAATAAATTAATTACAAATATTTTTGAATAAGTATAAAATTCGTGGCTTAAAGTGTATGTAAGTGGGCCGTGAAAGGAGGATTTCGTGCACATTACAATATAGTTTAATAATGATCTAAACAACTGTATAATTTGACATTTACATGCTATTATATATTTTGCATCAAAAACACTTACCTTGAAAACACTGTCTAAATTATAGCTATCATCAAACGCTTGACTGAGCGTAAATGCTAAGCGATGGTCTAAGTCCTTGATACTCTCTTTAAATTGTTCATAATCTACTTCAAAGCGTTCGTCTTCTGGTTCAAGAACATCGTATGCTTTACTAGAAAACAATGAGAATTGCTCATTGAAATCTGAATATATTTCAGTTATACGAGAACTTAGTAATCGACCTTTAAGTCCGCTAAATTCGATCCTTTCCAGTTTTGTAAATTCAACAACCGTATCGAAAAACCACTAACGAATAAAATAAGCGTTTATTAACAACCATGATAAAATTTAAGTTTTCTATGTTAAGTAGGTTGGTAATCAAGTAATGTATAAATATTAAACATACTTCAATAATTTGTAATCTTCGAATAAATAAGTCAGTACGGTTGAAAATTATGTTTGGATGGAAAGTCCACAAAAGTGCAGTTTCTTCATTTTGGAAATACGACGGCAATTTTTTACGATAATCGTTGAATATAGTCCTTAAACATAATTGTGTACACATTTATGATAGATATGTTTATTGGTGAATATACACCAAGATCAAGTAACACAAATATTAACGACAGTAAATATTTTTGACACAGGATTTTGTGGATATTTTGTTTTTTTTTTTAATAATCATGGAATAAAATATCGTACATGACATTTAATAAATTATTTTGGTGATAACTTCTTATACATACAATAAAGAGAGTTTCACGGTGAACTGACAATTGCAATAAATTTTATTCTATCGAACATTTTTAACTTTTTTATTTAATTATCAATTGTCATCTGCGCTAAATTTTAATTAATTTTTCAATTTTTTTTTTTTAATTTTCAAGATAACCATTTTATTGATATGATTTTTAAAACATGTTCACAAAAAAATAAATAAAAAATATTCAGCTGTTTACTTTCTACGATTTTTTGAAGTTTGCATAATTTTATATTATTTCAAATAGATTTTCTGGATAATCGATTATCAATAATCGCTGTAACACTGATAAACAAGAAATAAATTTGAATTTAAGCAAACTTTAAAAATTATTCGAAAATTATTGATTCAACCTTAAAAAAAAAATGGTTATCTTGATTTTTTTAAATATCAAATAGAAATTTTTTAATTTTTTAATTTTGCATACAAAGTATTAAAAAAAAATTCGAAAAATATTTTAAATGTAGCGTAGACAACGATTGACTATTTAAAAAAAAAAGTTGAAAATGTTCAATGAAACAAAAGTTATTACAATTGTCAATTCATCGTTAAACACTGTTATGTTCTACTGTTCTACTGGTACTTGAAATATTTAAAAAATAAATATTTGTTATATCATTTGTTGGGGGCTATTGTGTTATTTATTTAATAATTTTTATCTTAAAAGTTTTAATTTACAAGCAAATTTTATGATTTATTATATTTTCATAAACCTTAATATTTATCTTTTTTAAATTCAAGTATAAGACTAAAACAGTACATCATAAATTATATTTTTAGATTTTGTTTTTAAAGCTAAGTCCCTGAACTATTAGCAATTGTTAATTTTATTGTGAAATGTAAAAATTAAAAAAATGTTACCTAAACTTTTCAAAAATAAATATACAATGGCGGACTCTCAATTTTGTTTCATGAATATCACTTTGAAATATTGATGTTGGATCCAAATATCGAACTGCCTGTAGATAAAAAAAACATGAGAAATGGAAAATTATGATTCGATATAAACTTTTATGCTAACCTGTGTGATCAATAAATTACATATTTGCTTTAAAAGAACAATAATCTTGCCGGAACTACAGTAAAATCGAGAATTAGACCACACTAAACAAACGACATGCATCAGTGGACTTAAGCATATAGCTATGTCACCGAAATCAGTTTCTTCTAATAATTTGAAATGCTTTTGTAACGGCTTCAGATAGCGAACGATGTCATTAGCTTCTTCCAGTGCTGAATAATCAGGGGAAAAACAAATCGTATCGAGTGTTATAAACAAATTATGAATTCAATAAAAACTACCAGAAACGACATTGGCATAGATATTCTTCAAACATGGGTAATAAGCACTGTTAGTAAGCTGAACGATAGTAGTCATCTTCATTATCCGTTGATCTCTCAACTGTTCAAAAATATATTCTAAATTTTGTACTCGATTATTCCAGAATGCCACTTCTGTAACAAAATTTAAAAAATGTGAATACTTTAAACAAAATATAACCCTCTGTAATGTATAAATTTATAAAATTTGATTTAATTTTATACTTTATCGATTTTAATATTACCAGCCCAAGGAGTTAAGTGTTGATTACTCTTGAATGCCGATACAGAATCTGCACTTAATACTTCAGTTATTTGAGTTGCCCATTTTATAATAACACCTTCAACAGCCGATTTAAAGTGTAGATCGACTATTTTCCCATCACTAAAAATTATAACAAATTATTGCTCAGTGACAAATCATTTTTTGAATTTTTTTTTTTTATCAGGTAAAAATATACATAATTATTATTGTTATCACGTTTATAACTCTATTAGTCTTTATTAAAATATGTTTGTTTTTATAAATCTATTTTTAAATATTTTAGATAACTTGGTATAAATAACACGAGATTAATTAGTGTTATTTTAATTTTATAGACGTATATTATACAACTTACCAAAGAATTCCGAGGTTAAAAAGAAAACCTATAATAGCTAATCATTCCATACATTCATATTGAACATGACTTAATAAATTTAAAACAACAAATAGATTTTTAATGTTCAAATCAATTCAATATAAATGCTTTGCAATTCGTTTTCAAAGAAAATAAATATTATTTAAAACAAGCTGATCCCGTGTATTTTGTTTCCCATTAAAAGTGCCAACTACAATATAATGTTTTATTTTATGCAATGAATTACTTGACGTTGTTCGCCGACCAGTAACGATGCATTTCTTCGTAATTCGTATGCGTGTTGAAATTATTGTCAATGTTAAAAAATAAATTCTCATTTATTTTTATCACCGAATAAAAAAAAACAGTTTTTTATAAGGTTTTGAATCAATATATTAGAATTGTATTTATTTTAATCATTACATGGGTAAATTAATAAAACCAATTCGTAAATTATATTATTATCTTCCATTATATAATTAGTACCTATAGCTGTTGACTTTGGGTCAATTTCTGTTATTAATATGATTGCGATTAAGAAGTTTTTAAAATATATTTTAAAGTACTTCTGCGTAAATGATATTTTTAGTTTTATTTTATTTTTATGTTTGCAGGCTATGAAACACCCTATATTCAGATTTTTTATTTTTCATATTTTTATTTTTATTTTTTATATTCTTTTATCATTATTTATTTTTCCTGTTTTTGCAACATTTTTCACTAATGCTTCGCTCCTATTGGTCGCAGCGTAATATTATATAGCTTTAAGCTTTCCTCAACAAATAGACTATTCAACACAAAAATAATTTTTCAATTCGAACCAGTAGTTCCTGAGATTAGCACGTTCAATCAAACAAACATATAAACTAACTCTTCAGATTTATAAGCTTTATTATATAAAATATAAAAATATAGATGTATAATGACAATACAATAATTGACTATATTTTTTTTAATCCGGAGTATTTAAAATTCATGGCTTAATTATTATATAGAAGAAAGTACTAGATCACAGAGCTTTTAAAAATCTAATACATGTAAAATAATGGGTCAATTAGTTTAATATACATTATATTATATTCGTTAAATTTATATCATATGTTATAGATTCGTTAATTATTGTTTATTTTATTAAAATAACTAATCCAAGAATTTTAAATTATATTTTATTAGTTATTTAATATAACATCAATAATATAGTACACCATATCACCCAATCACCCTTACCTTTCCTTAACTATTTTTTCAATACTATCCAAACGTTCCACGCCAACCGGCATTGGTAAAATAGTTTGTCCATTTATTTGACCTTTAACTTGGTATACAGTACTTTTCAGACTATGAACATGTTCTTTGACATCTAATGAAACGACAGTTGCCCAGTTTTTATGATTTTCTGGATTTGCAAGTAGCGGAACAAAAATCTGTAAATTACATTAGTAATTTCCTATTACAAAATTAATATATTATAGTAACAAAATAATATGTTAAATAGTATTTTTATAATAACAATTTATTTAAAGTATTTAAGATATTTAAACTGAATCGGTACTTAGATAGATAATCATACTTAAATTATGATATTTTTATTTTATTTATGCTTAAAAATTTTAATGTTTGTTTTAGGTAAAAAATTTAAAAAAATTAAATATGATTCAAGTCTAAGTTCATACTATATTTAAAAGTTTAAAATATGATACATATTTATTTAAAAACCTTAACACAATCTATAGACAAAAATTGAACGTCATACTATACAAAAACTTTATACCTAATTATTTTAGTATTAGGAAGTGGAATAGTGAATAATACCTACCTAACTTTACTATGATTATTGTTAGACTTCACTTTACATTTTTAAGGATTAGAAAATTTTATAAAAAACAAAATTAGTTTCAAAGGAAAACTAAAGGCTGATAACTAAATATTTTAAACAAATTTTAATAATTTTAACTATTTTACTTATTGAGAATAAAACCGTACTGGCCTAGTACCTATAGTAAATTAAGAAGTTTATTGCTTCTTTTAGCTCGAATATTTTTATTTTACCATATAAGAGTTTCAATACAATAATATATCGTCATGACACTATCGTGAACACTGGACCTAAATATAATAAATCAGCAAATTAAACCAAAAATAATCGATCAATATCAACAATATTCAAATGATCTGTAAAAGTATACATATTTTTTACTTGTCACCAAATACACAAATGATACGTTACACATACATCTATGAATGGCTAAATAGGTACCTACTACAGCAATAGTATTGCAATAATAACCAGCCATGGTGTATAGCCAAAACCTACGTGCGTACACAAGGCCATAACCGTACTTTGTAAGCAACGTAGGATTGTAATAAATTATATTATTTTGTTTAAAGTACGTCACTCACAGAGCTCTTCAAAACTGTTTATTTTACTTTTGTGACGTTGTATAAATACTCTGTAGCCATACGACAAGTACAAAACATAAAAGCTATGTATGACACAAACCGAGTAAACAGAACAATAATAACATCATAAATTAACAAAGCTGAGACAGGAGATAATAAAACTCAATATTGTCTTGTAATAGTATAATATTATGAGTAGCGAGTGTACGTGACTTGTCTATTATTTAAAACGGATCTAAAATAATTTGCTGATTAAATCGAACAACATCATATTATGCAAAACATATTTTGAAAACAATATATTAAATAATAATATGATTAAGTGTCAGTTATTCGATATGTTTGAATAACGTCAAAATAATATAATTTTAATTATTATTGATTATTGTGTTACAAAAGTTAGGTAAACGAACACTATATATTATTCCTAGTCAGTAGTCTCTACGTATACTACTCGTGTATTCGAAGTCTCGAATCATCGTAATAAGACATCATTCCGACTCCTTCAAATTTAGTTAAAATATTATTTTATTGTTATCATTGAAACTTAAACGTAATACGTAATTTTGGATTGCCCCCAGAGTAAATATAATAGTGACAAAATAAAATATTTAATTCAAATCAATTATAATAATACGAATAAAATAAACAATGATTTGTTATTATTTATAATACATAATATTTTAATTTATTATGTTACAAAACTTTAATAAATTATTGTATTTCAATATTATATAAATAACACTTTATTTTTCTATCTAAACATCGGCTTTCCTTTTTATAATTAATGGTTTAGCAAGGTTTAAAGTATGATTATCATTAATAAATAAAAAATTAAAAAATCATAAAATTAATTTACATTTACCCTATTTGACCATAGTAAAATATATCTATTTAATCAAATCTGAAATGATGTATTATATTTACTTTTTACAGTAACTTACATATTATTATTTTATATTTACCAAAATGCAAAAAAGTAATTATGAAATATGATTGGTAATAGATTTTGAAATGTCGCTTCCGCTTCAATTTAGATGAAAACTTGGCAATGCATTTTGCATCTGCAATAATTTCGCTTTTTTGGTAAATTTATAAATCTTTTATAATACTTAACTGTGTTGCGATCATTTGTAATGAATTACGAAAAATATAAATATTTCGCAATTATTGTTTCATTTTATACAGTTGATTGTATAAGATACACAGAATAAGAATAATGAAATTTTACAACAATATCTCTTTTTTATCTTCAGTAGATATAATACATATCTATTTAATTTGATTTATTTAATCAAATTTTAAAATATTTATAAAAACAACAACTCATATTTAATTGTTTAAACAAAAACATGGTCAACTGTATTTAATGAATAACAAATTTAAAATCTATAAATATTTTTTAAATTTAACATTCATATTTATTTTTCAATTTTTATATTGTATAATATTTATCCTAACAATTCAAATTTGTTATAATTATTACATTGTACATTTTTCATTTTATATGTTAAATGCGATGTATAAGAATAAAAGTAACTTTGTACTTACGTCATCTACAATAGTCGCCAATTGTTCAATAGGCTTACTCGCCATATCACCAATTATAAGAACTGAACTTGGATTTTCTTTGGGTACAACAACCTTGGCAATTTTCACAAAATAAATTGCTTTAGTTTTCAGAGGAACTGGAAAACTGTCCATTGCAAATAATTGTGCTGCCATATTCTAAAAATATTTATCTGATTTTAATATTATTTAATAAGTATTGTAATCAGTACAATATGACATTTAAAAATAAATTATTTGAATTATTAAAAAAGTAAAAGCATATATTTTTTATAAAATAATAATTTATTCACAATACTAATTTATTCATTATGAACCTATTTATTTATATCCAATATTTGTGGAAGTAAAACATTTTAACGATTATTTAATCAAATATTTTGTAGAAACAATGTTATAATGATTATTAATAAATGTAGACTGTGTTTGAATAATTAACTAAATGAAAAAAAATATATATTTATAGTTTTTACATTAAACAAATTTTCTGCTTAGAATTTGCCGAAATATAATATTAATAAAAGGTAAATAATCATTAATAGCAGTTTTTAAAATGTTACTTTATTTTAATTGTAAATACATTAAAACATAGTAATATCATTATATTACTAATATCATTAATTTTAGAATATATTAATAATAGGTATATAATATTATGTTTTAAAATCAATACTAACATTATAGTTAAAATTTAGTACATTTTTAAACACTGTTGTATTAATTATCATCATTCATCTTCATAACTGATTTATAGCACTATTATTGTAATTTGAATGAAGTAAACAATATTTCTATTATCTTCAAAACTATATTATATATTTATTTTTCTGTTATTTTATTTTAAATTCGTTTAAATACGACACAATATAACACTACAAATGAATAAAAATAAAAATATTAAATAAAACAATTTAAAATTATAAACCTTTAAATTTCAATTTTAATGAAATTATAAATTAATTAATACAATACTATTTTAGATTAAAAACAAAGTACAATTTATAAATGGTATTTCATAATATTTATGTGTTTTTCTATAGTTTTTTTTTAACAGTTATTATTTTTTTATAATATATCAGACATTCTAATTTTAATTGTTTTATCGTGTATTGGAAAAAAGTTTTTGAGTTAGTACCTGAAAGATATTTTTTTGTAATTTGTTCTTATACATAATGAGTTTATAATGTATGACCTATATAGGATTTCACTTGCTATTATTTCATATTATAGTTATTACTTATTTAAGTGTAAATAAAATTACTGAAATTAGAGGAATGAAATCTGTCATTTTTAAAAGTTTAAAATGAAATTAATTATTATCATTTGCCGAAATACGTTTTCACCAATTATTTATTTAAGTATTTTTAAGACGTTAAATTATTCCCAAACAAATTTAACAATGTTTTCTGTCATGTAAATATAATAATATTCAACACTTGTTTTTTCATCATTTTTATTACGTGATTTATAAATTATATGCATATGCAAAGTAAGCATGTACTATATAAAATTACTAATCTATAAGTACTAATGAATATTAGATAGGTACCTAACTATACCAAGCTTTGTCAGATTAAATTTATCATAGTTCATAATAATAAGAACAAAACACCGCCGACTATAACAACGTATACAAATTGTATGCCCTTTATATCCGATAATTATACTCTGTTTGGATTTTTTAAATTTCATATGATAAAATTTTAATTTTGATTTTTAAAATTTGAACATTAATACAATATTTTATTTTAATATTTCAACTAAAAATTAAAAATAAAAGTCTTAAATTGTATTTTTTTTTTTTTTATAAATGTTAAAAATTTGAAAAATATCCTTAACTTAAACACTAGCTAAGTCTTATAAATAGGTCTATAAGTTTAATTATAATTATATTTATATATATACTCGTATATTTTTTTTTTTTTTTTTTGATGTAAACATTTTTATTTAGAATATTTTTTGTATAATAACTGTGTCTTTTATTTAAATTAAAATAATACTTGCATATGTGATAAGAATTTTAATTTATTAACATATAATTTAATTGCGGTACCTACCTGAAATATAATCAGAACATTACATTCTGGATTATCCAAGAAGTTGTACACCTTTGTACCTTGTTCTTCTGTCACCATTAATCTGAACCATTTTTCAGACTTAATTTTCAAAGCTTTTATAATATAGTTTCCGAAAAACTCGGGACGTGGATCTTGTGGATTATCATTTCCTTCAGACATTTTGGCTAAAAATTATCTTTCAACGTTGATTGATAAAACCTTGCATAATAATGTTATTAAAAATTATATTTTTTTAGGTTATTCTAAAATTTGATTTTAGATTACAATATTTTACTTTGATTGCATAAATACATCATTTGGTATAAAAATATTTATAAGTTCTCAACCTCAATGATGTTCACTCAACAAAATTCAATAATAACAAATATAGCCTTAATATTTACTACCTTAAAAAGTACTATAATTACCTGATTAAAAACGTTCTAGCTGATAATAATACTATATTGATACGATGTATATGCGTACATAATATTCAACGCTACATAGAAACAAAAAGACTTGCTTATTATCGTACATAGTAGCTAGTGAACCGTTTTGGTGAATGAACAAAATGTCACAGTAGACCTAAACACAAGACAATATTATATACAGTAATTTATTGGAATATCGTGTCTTAAATGTCGTATGCGTGACAAATGTTTCCCAACATTTTTTTAAAGTTTAAATCACGAACGTCTAAGTTTAAATATATTGGTTAAGTAAAATGCTATATACCTATAATATATATGAAACAAACAATAATATAAGTATTATTTTGGTAAAGAAATCGCATTCTTCTTTAAGCTGATATTCATCTTCCATTGGAAGTTTTCAACTTTTAAGTAGATATCTTATTTTAAATAAATATTTAAAAAAATTAATTTACAAACAATAATATTTTAATTTTTACAATGAAATTATTATTCTTAATATCTAATTTTAAATTTCCAGACATCATAGGTAGGCTACAAAAAAAAAGACGATTAATTCTGAAAAAATTGTAAACCCCTGATTTATATAAGTAAATCTGAAAAAAGCACGACTGATTTAGTCACGCGATTGTAATATAATTCCTTACTATGAAAGTTTTTTATACTCAACAAAATATAATAAAAATATAATTTGAAAAATATAAAGTAAACGGATTGTTTATTTTATTGTCATAGTAAACTCGTTACAAATAATGTACTTTACTCTACCCATCTATTGTGAAACATTTTAAACATGCTATAGCTTATAAGCTATATATAGCCTACTTTTTTCCTTTTAAAGTTTTATATTAACTAACATTTCTAATATTTTATACAAATCCAAGCGTTTCATTACAGTTAAAATATCATATGTGTAATTAATTAAAAATTAAAGTCTTCACATATTTCATAATGTGAATATTTTTAAATATAAAGTTTTTAAGATTTGTTTTTTAATTATTTGTAATTTTTACATCGAAAAACAAAAAAAATTACTCTCAATTTTAACTTTTTTATGATTGTGTTTAATGTTTAGATATAAATATCGTAACCATACAATATAATGAAACATATCAGAAAATTTATAATAGAATATCAAAATTAATTTTATTTCTATATAAACGGGATAAATCTCAGATCATGTTTATCTTTTTTCCTTATTTGTAAGTTTTATGTACGTACAACTTTTTATGTAAGAACGTATGATAACAATTTTTTTAAATTATATTGAAAATAAAAGTAATTAATAATATTATGATCATAATTTAAATCATAGTAAACTATTTCAAGTTTTGCAATTGAAGTGAATAAAAATTAAATTATAACAAATTAACTAATTATTTTTTTTTTTAATAAATCGTCATTTTATATGTGAATATCCAATATAATCAAGTTTTAACTTCAATCGCTTACTAAATTTGATATTATTTTCAATATAAAAAGAAATCTATAAATATAAGAAATCTTATATTTAATTTTCAAAACTTAGTGATAATATTTAGTTCAATTGATAATAATGGAAGTGTAATTTTTAGTTAATTAGATATACCGTTGTGTAAGGTGGCACAAGAAGTTCCATTTTATTCCACTCATTTAAACTTTAAAGAGGCATTAATAATAAGCATAAGTTGTACTAATATCTACTCAATTAAAATTTGATTTTATAATATATTAAAATATTAAAATAAAAAAATTTGCTTTAGAAACTAAAAATGTAAGCTGTCTTTCATAAAGTAAAAATCCAAAAAATTATAATGAAAATAAATAAAAAAAAATTTTCTTCAAAAATATTATTTTATAACTTATGTTAATTAAATAGAAAAATATTTACTAAAACTCTTGGAAAAAATTTGAATATATACTTTTAAAAATAATCACATTTTTATTATACTCTTATACTCGTAATATGGTATATGTTTATCGTAAAGAAAATATTTTATTGGTCTTAAACGTGTGCAATGTGATTTCTTAAAGGTGATAATGAATTACTTTTGCTCGCTAGCTAATAAGTATTGTATTATAAAAAATGATATAAATAAATATTTTACAAAAAATAAAAATATATTTTCAAAGCAGTTATATATAAGTAACTAAAATTGTTGTATCATCACCACTAATAATATTAAATAATAATAACAACATAAGACAAAATATCCCAAATATTATATTATTTATTGCAGTAATAAAAAAAAAAAAGAAATAATATTCAAGTTAATTAAATTCAAATTTTATACCTACAAAAATAAACATGAGTGAAAAAACATCTGACAGTCTATGTGTATGAAATAATTTATGATTTTAACTAATATCAACAAAATTCGAAATTTAAGATCCTATTATAAAAATATTGCGACTATATATTTTCAATAGTTGTTAATTTTTGCCAGGAAATTATTAAATAAAAACTAAAAAAAGTGAAAGTATTAAATTTTAAAATAACAAAAATACAATATATCAAAAACTTTGATTAAATATTCCCGTTATTGTTATTTTTTTTATTTGTTTTTTCTAATTATTTTAAACAATGGTGGGGAATTATTCTTTTAACACCACAACGTACAAACTATTTCCGATTCTTTAATAAAAAGTAAAAGCCCTTATCAAAGCTGAAGATTAAAGTACTTTAATTGTCATAAACACAAAAATTACAGTAAAGTTAGTAACGATTTACTAACGACTAAACAGTAGATGTCGAATGTACCAGGTTACTTAGATGTAAGCAGGATTTTATATCAGGTACGTTTTTAACCCGCTTTACAAAACAATGAGTAATCCACTTTTTTCGCTCATTATATGCATATAAGAAAAATATAATATACCTACTCAACCACTTGTATATAGCTCAACATCTGTAAACTGTTCAGAATATACATAATATATAGCTGATCTTAATTAAAGATAATAAGCATATCGTCTTACCCTTTAACCCTTAACTATACACAGTACACACCCAATTTTTTTTTTTCAATAATTACACGCGCAATGTATTTTATACACCAATTTAATTTACACAGAAAACAATATCATATTATATATATATATATATTGACTTTATTTACTTATAAAAGCAAAAAGTTCTACTTAATATTGTTTTAAATTTAATTATAATAATATATAAAAGAAAAAAAAGTTGTTATTAAGATATTATAATTGATAAAAGTTAAAATATCTTAGGTAGTAGATATACTGTCAAATAATTGTTACTAACTTAAATTAAATCTTATTATCTACCCTGACTTACTAATTTATTATACATCTTACATATCTGACAACAGCAGCTATAACGTGCTCCTTACATTTAAACTTTTAACATGAAGAATATTTTATTGTTGTCACCCTACATTTTGTTTATTTTGTTCACCGATATAAAAATAATTTAATACAGAACTTGTTTATACTGCTATAAACATCGAATGCTAATTGAAATGGATTAGTATCTAATATATTTTACATGAGGAAAGGTTAGATTAGGAAAATAACTGAAAACAAATATAAACAAAAATAGAACAAGATAAATAAAAATATTGGTGTACAGAATACAACAGTGTGTGTATAGTTAAGGGTTAATACAAAATACTTAGTAATGTTATAATATTTTGAGAAAATAAATAAATAATTTGCAGGAACTAAATAATTTTTTAGAAGTACCTATTTATTTAATTTGAAAATTGGCACTGAAAATATTTTAGAATATTTCCAAAAATAAGGAATTAGTATTAAAATACAAATTTCATATATATTGGGTAGGTACATATTTTTTAGTGTTTTAAGCTTTTGTATAAATTTAATTTTAATTAGTATCACTTTTTACATTATTTCTATGATAGGGTGACAGAAATTAATATGTCATTGTTTACAATTTTTAGTAAAATACAATTTAAGTTCTCATTTTCTCAATTGATACAAAAATTCTATTATTTACTTGTTATTTCTATAGTTATACTAAATATCTATTATTTTCTTGATTAGATTTTGGTTAATATACATCTAGTAAGCAGAGGAATACATATTATATGTAAATTTTATTTTACCGAAATTTCTAAACAACTTCATATTAATATCTACCATTTTAATATAGACTTATGATATTGTTAGTATGTTGGAGATGCGAAAGCGAAGACCCTTTGAGTCTCTATTTAATTTATAAAATTGCCCCCCCCCCCCCCAGAGTTAGAGCTCTAGTTGCGCCTATTTACGTCGGATTTCATTGTCAATAAGAAACGCATCTATTTTTAAACTTCTCGTATAAATACATCATATTATTATCATAATATTTTTCATTTAAATAATAAAACTATTTTATCCACTACATTTTTTATTTATTTTTATTATTTTTTCTTATTATATCTAATATCATTGTTATTAAATTTAGTAATATATAACCTGAAATATATATTATGTACGATATCATTGATATGAAAAATACATCGCATCTCGAGTCACTACCGACTTACTGTAGAATAGTATGACTAGGTTCTTAATATAAATAGATAGATGAATAGTTTATACTTATGATTTAAATATGTTGAAAATGTAATTATGTAAAGTAAAACGACTAAAAAATAATTATATAAATAATAGTTTCAAGTCTTACAAATAATATTTTTGAACTATAACAAAATAACAAAAATCATTTTTCTCCGATAAAATGTTATTTTTATTAAAAATTGATCTTTTCTCATCACTTCGTTTGGAAATTAAAATATAAAAAACACACGTCATTTTAAAAACAATACATTCTTCACTCCACTAAAAAATCTAAATATATTATAGTACTAAAATAATCGATGATGAATCTAAGGAAATCTATGATAGATTTAAGATTAAAACAATTGTGTATTTAAAAAACACAATATTAATACATAGGTATATTTTATAAATTATATATATTAACAAAATAAATATAGTACCTACTACAATTAGGTAGGTATGTTAAATTCATTAGGTTTACAATAAACAATTTATTTATTTGGCTAACATTTAATAAAATTCAATTTAATACTTATTACAATTATTAATCTACGTACTTATATTTAAATTAAAAATATTTAATGATCGGTCCATATTATACGCGTATTATGATGTGTTTACTTTTCCAAAGTTTTCAAGTTTTTCTTCCAACAAAATCGATTCCGTCCTAGAACCATAGAAACAAATATCATAACACGACAGTATGGTGTGTGTGGTCGGGTAGAAAACTTTAATAGTATATTCATGCAAACCGTACTTAATTGTATACGCGTTAATCATACTCGTATAACTGTGAATGTAACACATCGCGTTTGACATAATACGTTGTTCTAGATAAAAAAATAAAATTGTTTAAATTTGTACGTTGTACCACAAAAATATTAGTTGTCAAAACATAATTTCAAATACAAAATTTATAATAACTGGAACAAATATTTTGAAAAAAAAATGAATTCAATAATCGTTCCCGAGAGTTTACCGGACATATTAAAAAAATATGTGAAAGCCGCGATCCGATCTCAGCCTGAAGACATTATAAGTTGGTCTGCGGAGTATTTCAAAAGTACAGATGATCAATACGTTTCATTGGGTACAAAAAATAGTATTAACACTAAGCAAAAAATGGATCGAACTCTATTCAGAATATTAGCTTTTCAGGTAAGTATTCGACAATATAGATTGTACGCATCAAGTTGAATATCTATACTATCAATAATGTAATTATTTGTTCATAATTTTTTTCAGTTAGGTACCACTATAGGCACTAAAGAAAGAATAGAAGAAGTGTGGTCGGACTTATCGCTTGATTTCAATCTATTAGAACAAATTTATACGATTGGGAATTTTCGTGGAGAACACGTGGACATGGTTGAATTTTTGGGTATAACTTTTGGACATTGGACAAAAGTAAGATGAATTGATAATTTATACAAGATAAATTTATTATATAGATAATAAATAACTATTAGAACCAAATCTCAATAAAATGTACAAATATATATTTTATTTTTAATAACTGTAATATATTATCATTATTAATAAATTGTTTTATAGATTTTTAATATAATTTTAGTGTGAATAATGTACACTCATTTGATTAATTTAACAAAACCATCGCAATTTTAATATGAAACAGATATATATATAAGACATATATATAGGTAATATAAATAAAATAATAATTAACAATTTTAATAAAAATACAAAATATAGACTTATAGACACATAAAATGTACCTACTAATACAAATTACGAATATCAATATAATTGTTGTTATTAAATATAAATTTAGTTAGAGTACCTAAATAATTATCACAATTATTAATTAATTATCCGTGCAAATACTATAATAAATATCTAATATGAAACATTAAAAATATTTTAACTTGTGCGACTATGTCCAGTAATTATAAATAAAACAGATAGCCATAATAGGCATTATAATTATTATATTATGTAGATTGTAAATATTATAGTAATTATTCAATAAAAAATTTTAATGAATTTATTTAAGAGAACGCCGCACCCGCATGTGTTGTCTCTGTCTGTATGTATATACAAATACAACATAGAAAATTTTTGTTCAACAGAATCAATTTTAGGTTGTTAGCTTTAATATTAGAGTAAATTTACCTATTATCAAACTTAAATGTATGAATTTTATCTAAGCAATGACATAGGCTTTTACTAATATTATGATTTTAAAGTGAGTTATGACTTATGAGCATTAGTAAGCATAAGTTTCAATATTTCATATGGCTATAACTCAGCTTAAAATTAAAATATCAATAAAATCCTACGTCATTGCCTAGATAAAATTCTTACCTTTAAGTTTGATAATAGGTAAATTTACTCTAATATTAAAGCTAACAACATAAAATAGATTCAGCTGAACGCAAATTTGCTGTGTTGTATGTATGTAACACATGCGAGTGCGGTGTCCTCTTAAAGCTGTATTATTCTTTATTAATTATTGTTTATAAATAATAGATGGTATTTTTATTAGTTATTATTATCTATGTAGATATATTTTATCTGTAATGTTACTGTCTGTAATAAATTGCGATAATAATAAAAATGAATATATATTATACATATATTTACGATATAACAAATAGACATGTAGTATCAAAATTCTATTGATATTTATTGAAAAAGCAAAAAATGTGTATCTCTCATCTCCAATTTTATACAGAAGAAATATAACTCAATTTCCTTAAACAATTAAAGAACTTGTACTTTTTTTATTTTATTGTCATAAAAATTATTTCTTAATTTATAATAATACTTTTTGAATTTTTGTTTTATAGAATTTACAATACATAAATAATTATATATTTATTTCTAATGCCTTTTAAAATATAATTTTTGGCGCAAAACTCTACACTATTTGATTAAATATTAATTGAAAAAAAAAATGTGAATGACAAACAAATTTGACTATAATATTAATGAATAATGACGTACGGATACAGCAAACAAATCGTGACATGTCATCCATCAGTTTAAACAGTTTAATTATATTTATTTATTTATTTCAGTCACTAAAAGAAACCATATTATTGTGTTGCGAAGCGTTCTGCAAGTGTTTAGCCACTGACGGTTATTTCATGCACGTGGACATCGCTTGCAAGCTCTATGAGTACCTCGCGAAATTGGATTGTTCGCTTCCGGACGACAATTATACAGGTCGGTGTACACCACCTAGCTAACTATGTACCAGCTACACGCTGGTAATTCTTGCTAGTGCTCTTTCTATATTATATTTACGTGTCCACTGATCATATTAATCAACAACACGTCTTATGACCTACCTAGCGAAAACTGTTATCTCTTACCTACACAATAATCCTAACTTAATCAAACATAAGACAATATTTTATGGTATCATACATAAAACGTGCCTCCTTTTTAACCATTTAACCCCAATACTAAATGCTGTATAGATATGATTTATAATTATTACAGTTATAAAGTGTAAGTATTTTTATATTTTTTTATATTATGCATGATATTATGAAGCTCCGCTTGTTAGAAAGAGCGGGGAGAGAAATAATTTATTTGAATATTCTGTTAATATTTATTGTATAGTCTGTACACTATTTTTGTATGAAATGGTTCTCCATTTTACAAAAGACACTACGATTAAAACGCGCTAAAAAAAAATAATAGTTTTTCCTTTATAATATCTGTTGCATAAGGTATAATTATTAATTTATAATATTATATGGTATATTCTAGGTTTTATACGTCCATGACAAAATAACGTGTACAAGTTTTATCAACAAATAAACATCAACTATTATTAAACAACATTTAATTTAATAGGTTTTGATCATATTTACTAATGTACCAAAGAACGCAATTAAATAAATGTATCTATTATGTCATCGATATTTTTTTTTAATAAACCACTTGATACTAGTGTATTTTAATACACTTTTTTCGACTTTTTGAGTATCATAAAAAGACCGACAGTTTTATGAATTTAGCATAAACAAAGGAAGTCCTATATAGGTCTTAATTGTGTTGGGCGAATTTTAAACCTTTGGATATGTATAAAATTAGGCGCGGATTCAGCGGGGCCCCCCCCTTCTGTAAGCTGTATTTTATTTAGAAAAAAATACTTAGTAAAAAAAAAAATCATAACAAATTTTAATTTATTTGTGTAATATATCAATAATCCCCCCCCCCCATTAACTTGGTTTAGATCCGCCACTGTATAAAATACAACCAAAAAAAGTTCTGTGGAGAAAGAGGGTGGATATTTATTATCTGCGACGTATTATTTGCCCATGTCTAAGTTTTGTACATTATATTTATTTTTCTAGACGGCGGCAAACCAGCGGCAGTCCAAACCAGTAAGTCTCTGGACGCGTCTCCTGCGCCGCCAGCCGAAGATGACCATTTAAAGCAAAGCGACGTTTGTGTGTCACTTGAATCGATTTTTTCCCGTCGTCTGACAGCAACAAGCACAGGCGGTAGACGAAAGACCGGATACCACGTACCGGGTATCGGACCGACCGCGACTGACGGTCAGGTGCAAAAGGTATTCGAATATTTCAAAAAATGCGCTGCTGACAACGGCGGTTACGTGTACGATTTTGACATCGAAAACGAACGTTGTCCCCAGTTGGACGCTATTTATAATAATTAAACAACCGCAAACTAAATGTCGTAACATTTAGTAGTTTCGTTACGTAACGTCATTATATTTAGCGAGCAATCCGCTATCCGACCGTGTCATCGACCCTAGTGCAGGTACAGATTCAAATATAAACGCGGCCGCCGCGCCAGTGAGCACTTCTTCAGCACTTGCGCCGTATCAATACGCAACACGCGTCGTGTTAGTATTCAAAATAAACAATTACCTCTTAAATATTGTATACGAGTGTCATATAAGATGTAAAAATCTAAACAAACTAAAAATTGACCATAACGCTTCAACACTTAAATTACAAAAAATTATTAGGTACCTACTCGTTCGTAATACCTAGTGATGCGTATTAGCTTACACTGCAGCTTATAGCCGACTATAATGTGTAAATTGTAAACGAAATATAATATTATATTCATAAAAGATATAATTTGAATGTTAACTAACGTCGATTAACAACGATTCATTGAAGAATATTTCGTGAAATTGTTGATCCAAAACATTTAAACCTTTTTTCACTCCCACCGTCACGGCGCAACATTCGTAAAATCGCAGTTAATACAAATAACAGTCAGATAACTGAAATAATTGTGCTTAGCAGGACGGACCGTATCGGTTAAAAAAAAGCTAAAAGATATTTTTGCACTATAACGGTAGTATGTCCCACTGGATATAACTTCATAGTTAACGTTCATAGATATAGCCACCATTGCCCGTTGGACACCAAGGCCGAATAACGATAACATAATTACCGGCATCAGAAGGCAATACTAAAGTTCCGGGAATGACGTCGAAATTCAACTTTGGTATCAGAAAAACTGCGTTTATTGGACGACTACCGGAGTTCTCAATTTTCTGCTGTGTATTTTTTTAAATATTCCTGAAAAAAATTAAGACCTAAATATTTTAGTTCCATCAGACGTTGACAGTAGTAATGGGCTTGCATTGTACCTTATGTCCTTTATAAAGGTGTAACAAATAGAGCAATAAAAATGCTTCCATACAACTATCGGTAGCAAAGACGCAAAGTGAATCTAGTAAATATATTGAGAAACCAACAAATTTTAAATATCTTTCTTAATAATTAAGAAAATACGAGAATTTCTATAACATAATACCAATTTTTGACAGAATGTATTTTCTTATTTTGCTGTAGTTCATGAATAAAATCGTTAAAATGACGAACATTTGTAAATTATTTTTTCTAACTGAAAACTTATAAAAATTTTAATATTTACATTTATAAATTTAAAAATATTAATACATGACTTCTTATAAACTTTAATTCCAAAAATTTAAAAATAGTTATGAGTAATTCCACAATTATATCTTATTAACGATTGAATTTTAAATTTACACAAAATCGGAATATATATTCCAGCATAAAATTACGATTTTTCTTTTAACGTTTCTATTATATTTATGTTTTTATTTAACAAATTTAAATCATAGAAAATTAAAAAAATTTTTAAATAATTGTATATACTCAAAAAAATTTTTAAAATATTTGGACTAAATTTAACTTACTTACCTATAGGAATTTTTAATTTTAAAATTTTTTTTTTGCTCTATTATAAATATTTATGTTAAGCAATCTTATAAGCTTACAAGATTGCACTTAAGTTGTTCATAATGCAATTTAAAAATATTAAAAATACATGGCACCATTTTTTTTTATGATCCCTATTGAACTTCAAAACTCGACTAAATCGCAACAATTCTGTTGTTAATTTGTTAATACAAATTAAAATTTTATATTAAGCCTTAAAAATGTAAAAACTAGTTTATCAGTATTATTCAATTTTTTTATAAACGTTTGAAGTTTAAAATTAGATATTTAAACATATCTGTTATTTTGTTGATATTTTTTCTTATTCAATAAGTTGAATTGAATTTAAATTTAATACATAAAAATATGTTGTGACTTAAATAACGAGATATATTTGATATAATCTTGATATCTATACTTAATATAATAAAACAAAGCTTAAATATTAATTTTTTGTGTGTTTTTTTTATGTAATTCCTATAATAATTAGTCTTAGTTTTCCATTAAAATATTTATCAAACATGGTAAATTTACTCGAGTTAGTTTAGTTAATTGAACATAACTTTATTGTGTTAAAAAATTATATATTTAACGCGCAGTTAATTTGTATTATTATTACTATTATTATTATTTTTTTTTTTTTGTAATTATCATTCAAGTTAAGTTACATACTTATTAGTTATTGCGATTTTCAGATTATATAATTTTCAATTTTTTCCATTAACCAAATCAACATTTCATATTAATTTATCCTTCTATTCAATAATATTGCTATGCACTTATACATACTGTATCTTTTTTATTATTATTATTATTATTATTATTGGTCATGAAATTTATACAATTTCTGCTTCGACAACATTTTATTAGCATATCACTGTTACATAAATATAAATACTGTATCTGTCTGTATAATTTTAGACAATTATAAGTTCATGTCCAATAAATCATTAAATCAAGAATTATTTATTTGTTTACTTTTGTCATTGTCTATTGAGTAATTAAATAAAATAAAATATTTAATAATAGTTATACAATTACTAACTTTTTTATTATACATTCAGATACTTTTTTTTAATTAACTGAAAACAATTCTAATCAATTAGAATGAACCATTAATTAAACTAAATTATTGAATTCATCAGAAAATAAACTAAGTTTAGAAAGCTCGTGCTCACCTTTGAGTACAAGTACACCTACTTCAAGCTAAATTTAGTTATTACTTATCAGTTTATCACATATTATTTTAATACGAATACTATAGTATTAATATATTCAATAAATTCAATATATATGTTTAAACAAGGTTATAGAACTTAAATAAGCTTAAACAAATATAACAATCAATAAATATTTTTTACTTTTTAGTACAATTTATAATTATACAATTAATACAATAATGAAGTGCCTCAACTCTTGAATTGGGGTACATTTAAAAATCTAGAGCCCACAGAAATCGTTATATTCTCAACGATTATCGAATTTTTCATTCAACTGGCGGATGGTGCGTAACGCGTATTTTAAGAAAACATGCAAATACTGTGCTCGTAAAAATACAACGTGAGTAAATTAGCTAGGACCCTGTTTGGTTTCCATAATTAATAACAATCTAGGTAAGTAGATATACCACTCGGCGACAATATTGTTGTCTGGTGCTGAGTGCTGACTACTGAGTAGGTAATGAAATATAACAAACTGTACTTTTATGCTCAACATTTTCTAAGCTGCACACTATAATACTGTATACGATGTCCAGTGTATAAGTTGTGTTTTATTTTCGCGCAAAACATTTCAGCATTATGTAATATACATTTAAACAAATATTGTAAAGGTATACCGTGAAAGTATACGTGCGTGATAGACGATAGTACGTGACAGAGATAAATCAGTACATTTTTATTATATAGAATGCCTGTCCTATGTACATATTACAAGTCATACATCATTTTTATTTATCATCTATACTCTATACAATGTATTTGTAAATAGAATATTGTATATACCTTGTATAGTTGTACGAATTTAAATATAATATATACAGACCCGTGCACAAGAATTCTTAATGGAAAGTGTTATAAAAAAAATATAAGTATAAAACAAAAGTAATTTATACATTAAATTTTTAAGTATATGAAAAGTATTTATTATTATACATTATACTTCAAGAGTCTTGCAAAAGTTAACTTCCTTTTAATTTGATAAAACCATAATAACTGTTAATGACTTAGACGCAAAAAACGTAATAGAATAGGGGTTTATTCCCCTTGCTCACAGGTCTTTATAATATATATTATTTATATTTTCATATATCGATATCAATATGGGTATCGGCGTATCACAACACAAGTAAAAATATCATAAATAAAATAAAATACTAGCCATTTAGATAAAATAACTACTATTACTTTTTTTTCAAATATTAGGTATATGTATTATGTAGGTATCTGAATGAGTTGCCCTTATAACCCTTCTTCTATTACATATTTGTAGGGTATTATATTATTATAGCTAAAAAAAAAATAAATAAAACACGATCGTCTTCGATCCAAGTACAATAATTACAATTTTATCCATTAGCATTTTATATTTTACGCTAACATTGCATCTTTAAATCTCACATATGAAAAGTCAAAATCTTATATATTATTACGTACATTCATTTAAGTACAAATTTACAATGTAAAATACTAAAAATATTCTGTATCAAATGTCGATAGTCGGTGGCATAATAACAAATTGTTTCTATTGGAAATAATTCGATAATCAGTCAAAAATGTTCAGTTCACAGTCATACAGTATACTTACTCGACCAAATGCGATTTAAAACTTAAAACCGACATTTTTAAAACATTATTTATAGGTATTTTTACTCAAAATATAAACTAATAGATAAGGCAATACTGTATAAATTGTAGAAGTAAAATTAATTTACGAAGTTACAAACCTATTAATATAATCTATATCTTATAATATTTTGATGGTGTACACATTGCGGTGTAGTAAATTATTGCATAGTATAACTTATTTTATCATTCTTATCGATTGAAATTGTTGAAAACATAATTATGTCAGATAATAGTATTTACACGGATATTATTGTTTATTTGTTACTGTAGTGCGTGCGTGGTCGATGGAATAATGGTATTTACTCTATAGTTCAAATAATCGTTCAAATGGCCATTATAGAAGGCTAGAAAATATTAAATACGTAATACATAAATAAACCATATCTGTACCTCGATAATATTAAATACTAAGTACTGGTATATAAATATTATGACGCAAATACGCAATATGGTGCACGTGAACGTCCAATATTTATCAGAGAAATTCTTCCCTGTTGAAAATAGTATCAAGTTAAATTAGGTATGGTAATATTTCCTACTTTGCTAGTCACTAACACAATTTTAAATGCGATTGGATCTTATAAGTTGTAAGTTCTACAGCACTTCTACATTTTTTAAATATATTAGAACTAGTTTTGTTGTAATATAAAATTTAAAAAAATCATTTGTTTTATTTGTAGTAGTAACTACTAACTAAACAGTTATACAATTAGTTATTATTATTATTATGCTTTTATTAAAATAAGATTCAATCGTCTTAGTATTAAATAATTCTGTATTTGTTATGATATGAGTTTATGACTATAACTCATAACTTATGAGTTATAAATTATAACTTATTGGATTAAGATATATAGTATGAAAACTTAATTTCGGGTAACCCCTATGAATATAAAAATTAAAATTACATTATATAATAATATGACTCGTTCATTAATGCGGGGTCTTACACCATACATGATAGAAAACCACGAGAATTTCGTCGATGAAATCATCTGTCATATCCTTCACAATATGTAAATATATAATCGTGTATAATATATATAATAAAAAACAGATACTTGCAATGCAGTTCCGGCATATCGTTCACTAGCGTAACAAATTAAAAATAATACAATATCTGTAGTATTGGGGAAGTTTCTTTTTTTTTTTTTAAGCCTTAACTTAACTTTTTTGTTATAAAGCAATACAAAAATTTCATTGCCAGAAAATTGCACTTATAAGTTGTATGATATATTTGCATATTATAATATATCAGTTGATTAATAAAATATATTTAAAAAAAAAAAGTAATGAGTAATTTGTAACCTTACTACAAAAAAGTAACTTAAATTACTTACAATAATATGTATTTAAATTACCATCAAATTATTTAAAAAAAAAATTCTTTACAATAACTTATAACTTAAGTTGTTAAGTTACTTCCAAGCATTGTATACAATACTATATTGGCAAATAATTGTTTAAACAACCTAATACATACTGCTCTATTAACATTTATATCAGTGGTGTTTTTAATTTTTCACAATAGTAAAATAATAATAATAACTCATAAATAAAAACATATTATGGTAAATTCAACTATTTCAAAGCAATTTTCGTACATACCTACTCACTAATAGTGTTTCTCGATTACCACATTATTGCGCCACTGTGAGTAATTTTGTGTATGCATACAGAAGTGTTGGCTAAAATATAATATTAGCTGTTGACTCCCGCCTATATCTATTTACGTGTTTGTAATTTTGCTTGAAGTCGTACACAGCGAGGTGCGTTGTATGATATAGGTACTACGAACAATGAGAAATATTTTTTTACACATTTATCGTAATATAATACAGGTATCTATTATCAAGTATAATTTAACAGACAGATTTGTTGATTCTATTATTGCTAAATATTAGACTACTATTACTTTATGTTTATACCTAGCTTATAAATTATAATTAATAATTTTTTTATAGGTAATATATGAACAATATAACATAACGCCTCACCGAGGTAGGGTAAAGAATCCTTGTAGCTTTTTAAAGCTCGAACCAAGTGCCTATTCATTTATATGTTCATTGCATAGGTATATGAGTGGTTAAATTAGGTTGCTCACATACTTAAATATCTTGTACGTGATTGAAATCATAAAAATATGATAGGTACCTATTCGTTGTACACTCTTTATACCGCTTAAATGTTAAGATCCCCACTATTGTTTAAAGACTTAACGATAATACACGATTCAAATCGTTAGGACACTTGACACTTTACTCATTGGCGAATTGGCCGACTATAAGATTCGCCCGAGAAACGCTAAAACTGGGATCGCCAGGGCCGGTGCAAGGGCAGTGCAATCAGTACACCTGCACAGGGCCTCACGCAAACAGAGCTCACTTCAGAAAAACATATCATTAGCGACTAAATATAATATATAATAACTTATAAAAGATAACATTAATAACAATATTATGTTTTTCAAACTACAGTTGAATAATAGTTTGGTAATATCCTAATTCCTAGTAATCCTGATGTACTAAATACTAATGTACTATATTTTTATAAATACTGCGATTATTGACTTAATGACAAGTTAAAATATAAATTATTTAACATTTATAATATTATGGTTGATAATATTGTTGCTTAATATAAAATATAATTTTGAGCATTTTCGTGGTATCAATAATTGTAGAGTGATTAAACAAAGAGTATAAGTAGATTATGTCAAATGACGTCACGTCAATAATATAATTAATTTTGGAATCTCAGTATTTAATTGTGCTCATTTAATTCTTCTGAAATATATACCTACTACTATTGTATCTATTTATTTTATTTATTTGAACTAAAAGGTAAAGAGCATATTATTATTAAATATAAATATTGTTGCGTATTATTTTGTTTAATTTTTTTTTGCACGGGTCCCCGCAATTTGTATAGCGCGACTCTGCAGGGCGTCGCGACGATGCAATTCTAATTCAGCAGGACGCTACAGTCTACTACTAAGTAATAGTAATACCACAATAATAGGTACCCCCCCCCAACATTTCAGGATCGTGTTTCAGTCTTTGTGTGTCGAAAAATACCGATCAGAAAAATGAAAACGAAAACCGACTGTGCACGTCTATGCAAGACGGTGCGTATGGGTAGGTAAAATAATGCCAATAAAAAGTGCGCTGTCGTCGTGAATCGTAAATACTTCAGCAGCGTCCAACGACCGAAATATTAATATCTGTAGGCAAGTGCCGTAACATTATTTTATGTGCAATATTACATATTATCATCGTCGCCGTCGTGCTGTGACGGTTAACGGGGAACTTTCGTGCACCTCACCGATCGCAAATTCGCAACGCCGCCGACACGTTTACGTAAAACACGGCGAGCCGCCTTTCACCGGGCGTCCGGGTCGCCGGCGACGGCGTTACTTCGGACCGAGAGAACCGTAGCCCCGCCAGCTCGCTCGCGCCAATAACTGACAACGTCGCAGCAGAGGTCGCCAACGCTGCAGCGGCGAGTAGCGGTGACGGGTCGGACGACCGACGTGGCAACGTTCGATGTGTGCCGTGTGCGCCACCGACACGGACCCGACTACGGCGGCGGCGGCGCAGCTGCTCGTGCACGACGAGTAGCGAGCTGCAGCCTCTCACTTTCCATGCTTATTTACCACCCGTCCGCCGAGCAACAGAGTGTGCCGAGTGCCATTGTTCCCGACGGCGCGGGCGCGAGTGAGGGGGGACACCGCCACCGCTCCCCCTCGCCCGCCGATCGTCGGTACCCGGCTGTCGGCGCGCGGTGGGGTCGGAGAGTTGCGAGTCGGCGGGCGGCGGGTGGTATCGAGTAGTAAACCCCACTTCCACCGGAGAGCTTCGGATCGCCACGGCGGTAGTGGTGCTGTTGTTGTTATTATTTTTGTTGTCGTCGAACGACTATCGCTGCGCTGTCGCCATTCGGCATTCGCCCACAGTCGTTCTCGAACTTCCATCCGTTGCGTTTTTTTTTGCCACTGGCGACGCGCTCGGTCCGCATCGCATCGTGACTATTGTTTATCCGCTATTAAATTATTATTTATATATTTTTGCACGTAGACATTCACGAAACTAGCGCGCGTTTGTCGACGGAGAATCTATATTATTGACATTATTTATTATTATTATTATTATTATTATTATTATTATTATTAATCGGCGTCACTGCCGCGCAATAGTAGTAATATTATTTTATTATAATACCGATTGCGACCCGTCGCCTACCGATCGTCTTGTGACGTCGTCGCTATTGCTGTCCCGACGGTTTTCTTTCGTTCGTCCGTATTTAGTGCGACAAAGAAACGGAAGAAAAAAACATTGTCCGTTCGTCGGTGCAGTGCTGTGCAATAATATCGTATTATTATTGTTGACCTAACAGTGAGTTTGTTGTGCTTCGTTGTCCGGTTCAATTCCATTTTGTCAGCGAACTAGCAGCACACCAGCCCGCAAAACAACATACGCCAGACCGCGGCTCGTGCTGCTGTGCGTGCGTGGCTGACGCAATCCTGAACGCGGTGAAGAGATTTTGCCGTCGACGTCATTACCAGAAACGAAGACTGCGACGTAACGCCGCCGTTCACCGCCGATAGGTAAGCGTCAAGCGGCTGTTTTATGTTTTTATCTATGGTTAGCAAAATAGAAAAACCTTGCAGCGGGATCGGACGTCGTTGCTGTTAACCGCGGTCCGCGGCCCATATCGTTTCGGTTGAATGCGAGTTTTCTATGGAGTGTATTGTAGGGAGGGGGAGGGGAGAGAGTAGGGCAATGGCGGACCAACTTAATATAACTTTTTTCGCGTCGAACAAAATTATTCATTGCAGGTAGGTTCCTACCTAACTAGTATATACTTTTCCTACTTAGTTCGCACATTCGCGTTGTTGTCGTTGTGTTTTTGTTGTTACCATTACAATTATTACCGTTATCGTTCTCGACGTTCCATTTGCCGGCAGATGAAAAGTGATCTGTGATCGTGCTAATATTAAAACCGTGTCTTATTTGCATATTTTGAAATCGCGTAGGCGAGCATCACGGCGACGAGCACTAAATATTGCAGGTATCCATTATCTGGGACGACTATCACGTCGTTTGAAGTTTATTTTTATTTCTTCTAAAAATATATTGAATATTATACGAGATATTATATTACTGAATTTAACAGTTTTTCACAAATCTTTGATTGCCATTTGACCAATCTTTGATCAAGTATAAAAATTTAAGAAACAATTGTTATCCCTAGTTAGCTGTCGGCACAGTTGCGGTCAACTTTTTTTTGGTAGTACTTGCTGTCACTTTTTTTTTATAACTATAAACTCATTTTACATTACTGGCATAATAATAATAAAGTATAACTTATACCAAATTAAAATCAAACTTTCCTACTTTTATATTATTTTTGATTAACATTTACAAAATTATCGACAAGGTTATCGATATCAATGTTATAATAATAATTGTAATATTTCATTGCGATTACAGTAGGTAAGTTGTATTTTTCAATATAATTATTAATTAGTAGACTCAATTTTATTAAGATATGTCAGTTAATTGTTTTAGTTTTTTAAGTAAGTTTTTATATTAACAAATTAATTTTTAGACGTTTATTTTAGTTTTTGTACTTTCATAATATGTTTTTAATATTTTGTCAATTCTGTTGTCGAGTTCTATGTCACATTTTTACCGTTTTTTTCCTTCCAAATTTATTGAAATTACTGAACCTATTTCTTACTTGGTTGTGTTTCCTAACATGTTTTATCTACAACTGATAAACATATACTTATAAATATATTGAAAAATACAACTCGTTTGCCGCTATTATTATTATTATTATAATTATTAATCATTTGTATATATAAATAACATAAAATAAGGAAAGTTTAATTTTACTCTAATATAAGTTTTACTTTATTATCATGTCAGTATTGTACAATCAGTTCATAGGTATAAAAAAAAGTGACCGCAAGTGCCACCAAAAAGGTTATTTTTATAACTGCATCTGTGCTGTAATCCCATTAGTTTAGTTACTAATGACAAACAGGTACCTACTTCCTATGTTAATTAGATAATAATTATATCAAATCACAATTATATGAAGAAAAATATTTAAATAATTTATTATGGGTATGTAGAAATTATAAACTTTAACAATAACATAACACCAGATTATAGTTATAAATTTGAGTGCTCTATTTTTATTATCATACATATTGTATTACTTATACATTTTTTTATTATATTTATTATTGTTCTTAAATATGAAGCTTTTGGAATTTTCCTATAATACTTATAAAAATTGTTCTTTGTTCATTAAATTTTGTAAAAGTTTGATACTCGATGATTTTAAATTTATAAGTATTACCTAAATGCCAAAATTTTTTCTTTTATTTTTCACAAAAACTATCTTATCTTCTATAGGTATAAGTTTAAATAATGTTAAATAAAAATTTCCCAGAAAATACTTTATATCTTTAAAATAACCTACTTAAAAAACTAAGATCTAATAATTTTTCAATTCTCAGAAAGAATTAGGTGAATTATTAGCACAGCTGGCAATTTTTCAACAATAAAAAATGAAATGCCTATTTAGTGTGGAATTTGAGTCTTATAAAGCTATATGTGTATTTTTAATAATATTGATAAGCTAAATTTATTTTAAAAAGATTGAATTAAGTTGATCCAACATGTGATTTACCATTGAATTTAATATCTAACATGCGATCAACCAATTATCTTTTCATATTTACTTCTTAAAATAGTAATTTAGATACTTACTATAATGTTGTTTATTAAATGTATACTGTAAAAGTGTTCTTTAAATTTTATAAATTATAATTTTTTGTTACTTATACTTGCTTATGAAAATTACACTATAAACTGATATAATTTATATCCAACTCCAAAGTATCAGACAATGTCTTTTAATTTCTGCCATTGCTAAATTACTATTATATTTACTATTGAGCTATTTTTCAGTACAACTTAAAGACACAATTTTTTTTTTAAATGTCATCTAGATGTATTTTCATATAAATGTTCACTATATTTACATTTAGTGCGATAATTGGTAGCTAAATAGTAACCAAATGGTATTTTAGAATACAAAACTTAAAATACACATTCAACTGGTCATGTGTGTTTCATTATTGTATCCATAATCACTACATATTTATTTTTCTGTAATACCGTTAGTGATGTGTTAGCGAAATGCTCACCTATTAAAATACACGTATGAGCCTTCAAATTTATATATTGCGGTACTGATAAATATCAATATTGAACTGCTAAAGCATAATAATAAAATAACTAAATAATATGGTAAGGCGATCAGTGACATACGAGCACAACACTAACATATACGTTATTATTACATATACGGCAATATTGGACTTCAATAACTTTGTTAGTTTATTTATAACATTTAATGTTTTTCCTTATTTATTTTCGTGAATAATTCAATGAAGCATTTATTTAATATTGTCAAAATCGAATGAAATATAAACCAATGGTTCTAAAAATACTAAATGTTTGAGTGAAATACACATAGCGTCACCAACGACGGGTTAAAGTATCTATCTACGCTACTTGTCTACTTTTTTAAAACTTCAAATAATTCTTACCTCTATATGTTTTTAATATGTTTTTTTTAGATATATAATAATTACATAACCTAATTTATAAAAACAAATCTGTATAGTTTTATGGCATGAATCGATTTTAATTGACTCAATCTTAAGGCTTAAACCAATCAGATTTAATTAAGACTAAAGATCAATAAACCTATTATAAAATAACAACTAACACTTTAAATATAAATAATACTTAAAGCAAACTATAAAATCTGACATGAAAAATTTCGAAAAGAAATTGTCCATTTTATCTTATTTATTAGTTTCCTTAATTACTTTAAGAGTAAAGAATCACTTCTACAATTGTTCTATAACAATTTGTTATTAATATGTCTAGCTCTTCTTCTTATATTACAATGGCACATATTGAGATATTAGGTGTTAAATTGTATTTATTTACACTAAACTTGTAATATTACAATTCTTTACTTCATATAAAACAATGATATTTATAGAAATATTTTTTTTGTAGGTTAACATTGCTCATTAAATATTCAATGCAAATCATAAATATGTACAAACCAATTCGTCCAAGGAGAAACAGCTTACCAAGCAATGTACATAGAAGTAAAACAAAAAATTTACCCAAAGCAGAGTTCAATTCAGCTAAAAATTCTAAAGTGATTCATGAATCAAAAAAACCCAAATCAAAAACGCCTAATTGCGTTAAACAGCTAAATTATAATGAATCACATACAAGGAATGTTAGAAAATTTATGGATTATAGTTTGTCAGATGGCGATGAAATTATTGATGATAAAACAAATTTTCATAAAGTAGCTAAAAACAACAAAATAATAAAAGATAAAAGACCTCATTTGTTATGCTCTCAACCAATAGACACTCCGACTAGATATCTACCAGAAGTGCCATTAAGTCATACTCCCCCATCATACGAATCCCCACAAAAATATGGTCCATATAAGAAGTTTAAAGAAGATGATATAGAGCAATTGGTTATTGAAAAATATGCCCTGCTCAAACAACTTATGAACATTGATGAACGATGTGGCTCACCTAATGGTGATAACTTTTATGCTGGTGCCAAATTCAATAATTGCCCGTCTCCTGGAGATTTGCCATTGCCACCAATGCAATGGCTTAACTCTTGTCAAGCACAAGCAAAATCCATGCGACAAAAATCACCTCTTATCTTCAATATAACTATCTAAGATATTCTTCAAAATTTAAATTTTGACTAATGTTTTATTTTCATTATTATTATTTGATTTTACATTGTAACGCTTATTGTGATTTTTTTCACTATAGTATATTCCCCTCCACCTTACTATATTGTCCCCTCATCCCATATTCATAATGAAGTTGTCTTTTAAATATTTTCAACATTCTAGTTATATTTTATATATTATCATGTGTTAATAACTTATATTTTATCTTATCAGTCTCTTTTTCTTAACTAAAATTTTTAATCTTAAGTATCATAATTATTTAAATGTAATGTTGTTTTTTAATTATTTAATTTTTTTTTTTTTTTTATTGTTTTTTTTTTTGTGACAAAACTCATTATGGACTGATTTTTGCATCAGTATCTAGTCACTTATTTAGGTGAACTACAAATTTAATGCAATACAAATATTAGTACATAGATAGTTATGAAAATTATTATTTTAAACTGCTATAATATAATTGAATTGAATTGCTGATTGGTTGTAATATTTATGAAAATCAAATCTATGTTTAATAAGACAATTTTTATATATACCTAGTTGTATTATCAATCAATATGTTATGTCGTCAAAATCCACCATACCCAATATTTAAATTTAAAAAAAATTATGTTAAGAAAAAATAATTCATTTGTTAATGTGATATTTGTGATAATAAAATCAGCGATTCAATTTTTATTTTTGTCAGTAATTGGTAAAATTTGTATTTGAATTAAAAGCTATGAATTTCAAAAAAAAATATAACATAAATATATGCATCACTTCAATCAGATGTATATGGAACTTGTCATCATTCCTTTAAATGTTACCTTTTTATTTAATATTTATTCATATTTTAATTTAACTACCAATTTTATAAATAATGAGCATAAGCATGTGAAAAAAAAAAGTTAAAATAAATATTATTTCAAATACACTTTTTACCCTTCTCTGATATTATTTAAGTGCAATTGTGATACAGAACAATATTTTTTTTAAGGTTTACTTACCATAATTATATTACACATAGTAAGCCCTTATGTGTGTTGTATCTTGTGAATGTTGTAACTTTTGAAAAGATTAATGAATGTATGTTTAAAAAATAGATTGTTTAAAAAAATGGGAATGAATTTTAATTGTATGTCAACCTCTCTTACGTGTAATTAATAAGTATTGTAGTTCAATATCACAGATTATTATATACTAATTGTTTATTAAAAACTATTCCACCGACTGTATCAAGTAGAATAGATTTAGTGTCTTAATGTGTTATAGAGGTTGTTATGCATTTCATATCAAAGATCTTTGTACAATTAAAAATGTAAATTGTTATAAGTGATGACTTAGAAAAAAAAAAATGTAAAACAACAATATGTTGTTCAATTGTTAACAATATATATGTTTGTATTATATAATATGTTGTCTCACTTATGCAATATTAATGTTTGGCATAGATTTTCGCTATTAATAATATTGACATACAAAGTATGTGATTGAAACAATGGGCCCAAACCATATCCCATTAAACTCCTTATGTCGAGCATTAGGCTTTAATCTGTTAAGGTAGATCAATAATGAATAATTCTTCAGATTAGTTTTAAGGAACACAGTATGTGTCTGTTTTAGTGGCTATCCTATTATTGTTGATAATATTATACATATTATAAGGAATGTGGCCATTGGTGTGATATTACTGTGTTATTTTTTTATGATAAATTATTTTATTATTGTTTAAAAATATATGCTAAGAATATTAATGTTGAATTGGAATTTTTTTTTTTCTGTAAGACTGTTACAGTTAAAAAAAAATAAGTATTCCAATCCATTACGTGTAAGATGAATCACCAATATTCAAATGTATTTTTATTTACTTAAATTGTTTTACAAATATCTTTAAAATTGTTATTAATTTTTAAACATTTAGTAGTGTTTTCTTTTTAAATTAGTGTATTAATTCATCTCGAAACTAATTTTTTTTTTTTTATTAACTTTAAGGAAAAAAAAGTAAAAACCAAAAAAAAAGAAAAACCTAAAAAAAAAACAAAAAAAAAATAGTAATTATAATAATGAAATACAGCCATTCCTAAGCTGTTAGTATTCCTTATACGATCTCATTCTTATAACAATACTACTACAAGTACAGTACATATATTTATTTATTCCTTTCTACATCATAGTTTTGCCATCACAACAAAACTAGTTTTTCTTAAAAATAATTTAATGTCTCAAAATATCCTTTATACGGCACAAAAAAAAAAAAAAACTCAAAATTAATACAATTTTTCTCTTAAATAAATAAATGCAGTGCATTTTTATAATTAATTAAACCGTGAGTAACATTCCGCCCGATATTCATTTATAAACTCGTAATAATTTATATTATTTAAATTAATTTTTTTCTCGTAAATGGCTATTCATATTTACATACATAAATTTCTCCTTGTATTGAACCGATTGCAATATTTTTTTTCCTGTATAGAAAATTAAATTATTAAATAATTATATATACATCACTAAAACTTTAAATTAAAACCTTTTTGGATTGATTTTCATTGCAATGATATTGCAAGATGCAAATTTTTTGATTGAATCTGTTTTCCCATTTGTCAAATTGATTTTAGTAAGTTCTCCATTGTCTTCAGCGATGTACACTATAAACTCATTTTCTAAACTCCAACATAATCTAGTTATTAGTTTTTGATTGAAAATAATTTTTTGTGGATCTTTCTGTGAATAAATTACATTTAATCTATAATGTACTCAAAATTAATAATTTACTTTTACCAACTTGATACACATTATATAATAATATTGTACAATCAAATTGAGTAATGATAAATGTAGTTGAATTTTTGTGACAAAATTGTATATTTTCAATCATTAATGAATGTCCATTATATGTTTTAACTTTTACTGCTTCTAAAACTTGGTCTTCTGAAACGCACAATTTAATAAAAATTTTGAATAAAAATTAATCACCGAAAGTACAAAAAAAAAAAAAAATTATAAATTATGATAACAAATTTTTGGGGCTTGAAATTTTAGGTAAAAATTATAATAAATTAATTTAGTTCTATACTTAATATTTTTATATAAATTATTTAAAATTTAAATATTAACATCATCTGTATTAAAATAATAGGTACATAAGTTTACTATATACATTGCAATATTTTCTGTTAAATTTAAAATCAACATCCATAGTCAAATTCGTATTAATGTACTTATTTCTATAACTGAATAAATAAAAAAAAATTGCACGGTACAAGTAATAATCCTCTGTACTTGTCATAGTGGACTAGGCCTATTGGGGATACCACTTTAAAAAAAACGCACCTGACACACAACCTCATGGGTGGTGTGGAATAGTGTGTAATACAAATTTATTTTATTTTCAGTTAAAATATGTACCTTTAATGTTTCTTGTTGTTTCACATAAGTGACTAGAAATTTTTCCATTTTCCAAAGCTACTAAAAAATGTCTGTTTGAATAATCAAAACATCGAATCCCAACTTTTCCTGGAATTCCAACTAAATACCTATAGACATGTAGTTAGATGTTTATTATTTATTATATAATTTATTACTAATTACTTAAATCCAGATCTTAACTCTAATAATAAAACTAACAAAAGCACTCAAAATATTTTAAAATGTAAATGCAAATAAATTTTTTTTTGTTCAAAAATATCTAATAATTTTTGATTCTGGACAGAGCTAGAATTTTTATGTATGTCATAAGTGATCACCAGTCCTTAAATGTATATGTAAAAACATATTTTCAATGTGACATGATAAATTAATTTTAGCAAGTAATAAATTTGATACATAACATTTTTGAAAAAATTAGCTTCATTTGATTTTACATACTTCTCGCTTATTTGATTTTTTCTTACATATTTAAATGATTTTAATAAAATAACAAATGTGTTTTTCTGATGTATACAGTGTATTTCCCTCAGAGTACAGACTGATTGAAAACTTGTCATAAATAAACCAATTGTTTACGACTTGCATAATATAATTTTCTCAGGTCTGTGATATCAACCTGACATATTTTTAACATTGTTATATGGATTCCATGTTAACAAACAATTGTACTTAATGAGTTAAAGTACTTAAGTGTTGTATTTTTCAATTATTCTTGATACAATTTTATCAACAATCTTTTGAATTTAAATTGCAATCAAATTAATTTTTTTCAATTGTTATGTTATTGCTTGTTTTAATATGATAAACACATGGATACACTAACGCTAAAACAAATTTAGTATTAGCAAAGGATATTTACATAGTCTACTCTAAACCAAACTTCATTGTCTAATATTTTAATATTAGAAAACAAAAACTTATATGTATAGTTAATGTTTATTCATTTTAACAATTAAATAATGAACTTTATTGTCTATTCTGTCTATCAGATAATAAGTATATTATATACTTAAAAATTATTCCATGGTGTTTAAATATCAAAAAATGCCTTACAAACAGAAGTTATTATAAGACACGAAAACACATAATATATTATGAATACAATAATATGATTTAAATATGCAACCGTATTAAATGTGTAAATATGAATTTTTATTTATGTATAATATGTCATGACGATAATATTTTATACTTTAATATTAAGAATTAATTTTAGTTATATTAATTTGTATAGAGGTACATGTAACATAATTAAATAAAATATAATTTAATTACTCATTAATTATGATTGTTAATTCGAATAATTTAACTTCTGTTTTGATTACCTGCATATTCGCTGAGTAAATTTTATTTTGTCACTCATCATAGTTCCTACACATACATATCCATCTTTTCCGGCAGTTATCAATACCACGCGAAGATCAGATCTTACAAACCATAATGATTCAGATACAGATTGTGAATGCCATTCGAGAGTAACCATAGACATATTGTCATTTGTGTTGCAAATTAATAATTCACCTAAAAGTTATGTTTAGCATCATATATCCATTGGTATATAGTAAATATAGTAAGTACTAATGAAGCTAAGTATACCAAATACAATTATCTTTATCAGTTATGGTGTCATTAGCAATTTACCATAAATGTTGCAATCTACTTATAGCTCACTGGTATCATGAAAAATACAAACAAGTAGTTCATGCAAATTATAAAAATAAACATGATTAAGTATTAATTTATGACGAGAAAAATTTCAACTAAAATAAGATTAAAAATAAAAGAAATGTA